TCTATTTTAACTGGCCTGAAAGAGACGACCACTGTTTTATTCCTAACATCAATATATTGAAAAAACTATCTGTTCCACAAGCTTGCTCTAGTTCTGGTAGAAACTATGTGTTTGAAAATGTTGAAATAGAAGAAGTGCAAGTAAAATGGCAACAATATTGTGAACTATTACAAATACAGTCAAAATAACTTGCACATTCGATACCTTTAAAAATCTTGTATATTTAAGTAACTTTGTAAATTAGGAATAATTTATTTTAATTGAATTTATAAATATTTTTTAGGAATTTCTTAAAAAAGTTATACATCTTTAAAATTAAAGTTCTATATGTTTCAGTTTTTTTTCCAGTTAGATTTTTTGTGCCTAGTAAGATTATAACTAGCTTAAAATATTGAAAGCAAAAAAAAAAAAAATTTGACGGGGGTGTTTTGAGATATTGGGCCCTAAAGTTAGATTATATAAACTAGTTGATTTATTAATTTTTAAGGATGTTCCTCTAACATTTCAGCATTTTAAGTACATTTATTGAATTCAGCATTAAAAAACCATTATAAATGTATATTTTTATATTTTTGCCATTTTTATTTCTTATTTTATTGAGGAAAACAACTTTTCAGAATGTTATGAAAACCGGGTCATTTTGAGAAACCAGGTCCAAATTAAATTTGCTGTATCTTGTCAACCGCTTGACATTTTTAGCTGAAATTTTGCATGCAATATTTTTTTATAAATAGGAATCATGTGTCAAAATTTAAAACAAAAAGAAGACACATGGTTCAATGGAGTGGGTGATTTGATGTGGAATTACCCTAATGCTGGAAATTAACTTTTAGTTAAGGTAAAAATAATTTTGTTTATTGGTAGCATAATAAAACCAGTTACTGTTATTTATTGCATGACTTTTTTACTATTTCTAACGTGCTGTTTTTAAAACACTTCCTCTCTCTCTCTCAGATGAGACTTAAATAAGAATTAGTATAGAGAGAGAATAGATTAAACTCATGTAATTACTAAGGTCTTGCGTAGTTTTTAATACTGCGATTGTTAATTTGCTATTATAGATATAATTCTTTAAATTGTCCCTTGGTTGTTATTGGTTATTGTAATAAATAAAATCATTTTAGTTTCAAGTATTTTCTTTTAGGGTTCGTCTATATATTACGTAACGCGAAATTAAAATATATAGACAAAAGAAATATCTCTAAAGCCCTGTTTCTCTCATGGTTAACTATATGTTGCATTTTCAAGAACTAGAGCATTTAATAGTTTGTTTTTCAAAATTGATAAACATATTATTCAAGGTATAGTAGGTAAAAAAATGTAACATAAATATTGTTGTATTTTTTAATGTTCTTAATTTATATAAGATTTTCATTTCGAAAATTTACTGTTAAAGGTTGTAGGCACATTTTGTATGTATAACTTTATTTATTTTTTTTCATAGTTTTTGATAAATATATCTATCATTCAATAGTTGTAAAATGTGTTTATATGTGTTACATAAAGTCATATTTTTTTATAGTTGTATATATGTTTAAACTATAAAACCAAGACAACAATTTATATCTTAGTTTGATTTTTTTTTTTAATATAGTTAATGCTTTTGCACTTCGCAACAGATTTTATAGTTACATTTTCAATAAATCTTTAACTGCAATTTCAAAATAGGTTACTATAAATAGGTAGATCGATTTTCGGTAATTGTGTAGTGGTTTATGTTTTTTTTTTCTTTGTAATTATGATATCATAATTTCATTACTTTTTTTTTTTAGAATTACGTTATGACGCATTTATAAGATTTATAAAATAAAAAAACCTGATTTCTTTTTATTGTAAATTTTTGTTAGTTAAAAAGATATAAATATATGCTATTAGTTAATTTTATATTTTATCTATTTTATGTCTAATAATTTGTTGTACGTATTTTAAGAGAATTTTTTTAAATGGGGTAAATCGTAACTAAAAACCTTTAAAAACATGGAGAATATTGTAGTTTTGCGCATTAATATCTAGTTACTCAAGTTTTATTTATGCGTTTAACTAATTAGTTAGCTTAGTCTGTATTTGCAACACTTTTGAGGAAAGAAAGAAAACATTTTTATATATGTAGATCATTGTTTCACATTTTATTATTTTATTTTATTCACCTAGTTACCATTAAAGCAAAAAGAGGGCAGGAACCTCTTTATTAGAGTCAAAATATTTAAGAAAAATTAAATTTCGAGTTACAAAAGGAATTTTTAGTAAATGGTGGCAAATTACCGTTTACTAAAAATTAATGAAATAAAGAGGCCAAACAAATAATATAGAAATGTTTTGTGTTGAACAGACTTAACAAGACCCGGGTCGGATCAGCTTGGTTTACAAATTTTTATGTCTACTCTTCTGTTATAATTTTTATTTTAGGTTTGTCATATGATGCATTAATGCACTAAGTTTACATATTTTTTCAAATTTATTATACCCATGTTTGATCGTAAATTAAATTTTTTTTGTTTGAAACGTATTTGTACTCAGTTGCTTTGTTATTTATAATAAACTTTGTTATTTTTAATAAATTTATTTAAATGTGTGCATTTAACATTTTTAAGTTAACAATTTTCTTTTCTAAAGAAAAGTTAATCAAGGGGATACCAAAAAATTGATAACTCCTGTATAATATAATTTATTCTTTTTAACTTCATTTTAATCTTAATGGTTCGTGTTATAAAAATTATTACAAGGATTTAGTTGATACTTTCGTCAATTTAAAGCATGACGAAGTGTTATTATTTTGTGTCAGTAACTAAAAACGTATTGTGTTAAACTTAGGAAGGTCGATGAAAATGATTCTGCCTTACACTGTTATGACCTATGCCATTTGTAAATTACTCAAATAATGTTAAATAGTAATTGTAAATGTTAAGTAGTAGTTGGAAAATTATTTTACCTCCTCATACTTTTTATGTTAATTTTACAGATGGATTTATTTTTTCAAGCTGAAGGCGATTTTCTAAAAGGGTATTAGTTAAGGTTTTGCATCATTAAATTGTGGAAAACAGCCACTATAAATTAATTATGTATCAGACCGACCAAAACCCGTATTACAGGTTGCTTTTTGCTAGTAAACATAAATAACAAACATAAACAAACAGAAATAAATATTTAGATTATATAAGCAGTATACTTCATTTTAAAAAAAAAAAAATTAATTTTATAATGTTTTGAAAAATTTTGAATTACGGCCAATTTTTTGAGGTTTTGCACCACTGTTGCAACGTTTTAAAAATTTTATGCTTTGTTTATAAATGAAAAAACAATCTATCCTCCCTCCCCCTCCCCTCCTCCCTCCTTCCTCCGTCGTTAAAATACTTTTCAGTTTAAAACCCAGCAACAAATACATTCTTAAAAAAACAAAAATTTAACGAACTTTTTTGCCCAACAAATTTTAATCAATTTTGTCTTGCCTATCGTGCACCTATGAAATAAATTTGTTTTATCAATTGTTGATTTTGATCGACCAAATTTTGATCAACCAAATTCTTTTTGTCTTTTTAAAAACAAAATTAAAAATCTAATTTTTTCCCTCGATAACATTTTAGAGTACTATTAATTAATTTATCTATTATTTAACTTTTTATTATTTTTCTCTAAAGTTTTGTTGTTTACAACCATTAATATTTAAAGACTTGTTTATGTAAAAATTCTATATTCACGAGATAGGTATTGAGCAAACTGTTTTAAATAGAGATGACTGGGATAATGTAAAAACAAAAATTTCGGGACCAATTTTGGCAAAAAATTTTCTGACGTCACTATTATTTTATTTGATTGGTTTTTATATTTTACGGTTGGTTTTGTTTTTTTGTAATGTTTTTTTCATTACCTGATGACGCTGACTACAATAGGTCAGCGAAATATTGTTAATATACTATAATATCAAAATATATTCATAATATATTTTTATTAAAATCAATTTTTATATATATATATATATATATATATATATATATATATATATATATATATATATATATATATATATATATATATATATATATATATATATATATATATATATATATATATATATATATATATATATATATATATCATTGCGCATATATTTACACTCTTAAAGAGCTTCTACTTTATATACATATATTATGTAACACATTAAGTCCGGTGAACTTGATGGTCAGTTGTTTAAGGTCATAACGCCGTTTGTTGTAAACCAGTTCTGTGTTGTCTTAGCAACATGGCATAGTGCCGAATCTTGTTGGAATATAGAAACAATAGTTAATAAATATTAAATATCATTATTTTAAGACATAAAAACCACGATCGCTGTATTCTTTTTTAATCGTTTGGCTTTTACAAATTAGCTAAGCCGCTCGATTGAGTGGTTTTTTTTACTTACAACACAATTAAAACTTAACCGCAACTAAAAATATTTGCACAATGTTATTTTTTACACACAAAGTAAGTTGCTACAATGTTAACAAGGTGTTAGCTTATTTTTATGGAAAGTTATATCAGAATTATAAATTTATAATGTTAATAATAATAACTAGAAAGTTAGTTTTAGGAATCGATATCTAACTTATCAATTCCTAAAACCAACTTTGAAGTTGTTTTTACTAAACAGCAAATTTAAATATTTTTAAACTTTTGAAAATATAAAAGTATATCAAAATACAAATTTATTAAGTCTAAGTTTTTTTTAATTTAGCATTTTATTTTTAAACTTATATTTTTATAACTAATTTTATTGTTTTGTTTTCAAACTTTTATAAAAATAAAAATAGATCACTTAATTTTTATAAATAATTGTATATAAAAAAATGTTTTTTATTTTTTAATTTTTTTTTAATATTTTTAATAGAATATGATTTTTATGCTTTTATAGTTTTTTATTATAATATTTCGTTTTTCATTATAGTATTTAACTTTTTCATTTATTCTTTAATTTTTGTCTTACTCAATTATAAAACATTCTATTTTTAATTAAATTTTAAACATAGTTTAGAAAAAAGAAAAAATATTTTGTAAAGATGGAACCTGGAAGAGTTAATTGCTTAGCTGTAGATAGTAGTGAAACAAGCGAAACGGCGTTTAACTGGTACGTAAAAAATTACCATCAAAAAAATGATACTTTATTAATAGTGCATATACACGAGGTTCCACAGTTGCCAATGATGAAAGTATTGTCTGATGCCTATTGTGGGGATTTTTATAGTGTACCACACTATTTTTTCCCAAATAATGAACAATACCGAACTCAAATCAAAAAAAGTATTGAAGAAGCCAAAGCTATAGTTGAAAAATTCAAAACATTCTGCGTTGAAAAAGAGATTAAGTTTAATGAGATTGTCCTGGATGATAACTTTAAATCTCCTGGATATATGATTTGTGAGTTAGCTAAGAAAAAGGCTGCAACTGTCATTGTCATGGGACAAAGAGGCTTAGGAGCGATATCAAGATTATTTTTAGGAAGTACTAGTGATTATGTGCTGCATCATTCTGACGTTCCAGTAATCGTCATTCCTCCTACCATTTCTTCAAGATAAATTTTTATTATTTTAAGTTTAGTTCAATATTTAGGTTTATATCAAGGAAAAGTTTTTATAAATTAATCAGTTTTATAAATTTGAGGTGCTTTCTTTTATTTCTTATATGAATCTTATTATATAATTAACTCATAATTGTTTTGTTTTTTTTTGTTTGATTTGCGTCACCAAAAATAAATTGTTAATTTTTTAAAAATATAAACTATAGGAGCCAAAAATATTCAAATTTTGCTATACTTTGCGCATTGAAATTTGCCAGATTTAAAGGAGCCTGCATGCTTCGTTTTTGGAAATAATTTAAAAAAAAAAGTATTTTAGAATTGCAATATTGAATAGTTAGTGTATAAGATATTTTAGAATTAGGATGAAAAGTTCTAAGTGTCAAAGTCTCAAAAACCAAAATGAATTACTCCTTCAAAAAATTGGCTATATCTTAATAAATATCGTAACTTTTAGTTTGTTGAAAATGCTTGAACAGTTATCGGATCATCATAGTTTTAGATCTGCTAAGAAGCAGATTTGAAACGCAAATTATTATTTAAATGGTACAGCAATGTCGCAGGTAATGCATGTTAATGTCGCAGCAATGTAGGAGATAATTTGTAGCTTAATAAAAATTATCGATAAAACAAACAAAAATTTATTATTAAAAGATATTTAAAATGTAGACATTAAAATGTATTAACATTATTGAACTAGCATTTTAATTTCTTATTAAAAAACATATCTTAGGTTTCACAAACACAACACAGTCCTTGCAACAGTGTTGTACCAAAGCTATGCCATATCTGATGTTATTGTCTGAACAAAAGTAGTCTTTGTAATCCAAAATAATTTAAAGTGAGAAATTTAGTAAACATTTTACGCAATATGAAGCTTAGTTTATTTATGTTGCAATCGACACTCACGATTGCAACATGCAAAACCTATAAAGCTAAAACAGGCAAAGATCATTTCCGTCTTTATAGAATATTTGAAGCTTCACAAAGATTGGATATAATGCGTAGCTATATAGTTTTAATTAATGTAATGTAACTGTAAAACAACAGGGAGCGCATAGTAAGGTATTTTTTTAAAGTTGTTTAGTATCTTCTAAATAAGAAAAGTACCATGCAAATAAATGAAACAAGAATTTCAACAGTCTGAAATCAAACATTTTATGGAAAACTGGTTTATTCTGTATTGTAAAAAGCTCCCGTTTTAGAAAGCTATAACTAATGCGCTATTCAACCTAGTTATAAATTGCAACTTGCTCTCGTTTATTGTGGAAAACTAAACATCTGAGATTTGGAAAACTAAAGCATTTGAGAAGTGTCTAGCATTTGTCAATTTCTAAGAGTAGTTGACTATAAATACAATTTTGTGCGTTGCAGAACTTCAACTCAAAAATAAAAAACCTTGCTATGAAAAGACGTATACAACTGAAAACTCAATTGAGTAACATAGACCATGCTTTATCACAATATACATATAAATGTCACAATAGACATTTGGTCCGACAAAAGAATGAGAAGATTCATTATTATTACTCTGCACAGTTTTGAAAAGGAAAAACATAAGAGGTGGTTCAATTCCATTTTCTATGCATGTAATCACTATAAAGAACTCACAGCCGAAATTGTAAGCAATTTGAGACCATATGTTATGAGTGCAGCATTGAAAAATAAATTAGAGTATTTTATTAGTAACAATGCTGCAAACATGAGACTCTTCTATCACCGTCTTCAGTAGCCTTTACGGTCTTGCTATTGCCTGCCTCTAGCATTCCAGTTGAGAGTGCCTTTAGCGATGTAGGCATCCCCAATGGACGCTTGCGTAGTTCTCACGTCAACGTTGATTTTACGTTAGCAGCATGGCCAGCGTAAAACCAACATTGCTTCAACATATTTGGTGTCGTAAGTTTACGTCTTTTTTTAATGTTGGACATTAAAATAACATAAAAGTATCATAATACTCGCATTTTTATTTAAAATTGTATTTTTATCTGAAAATTAGTTCGCGCAGCTTTAGATTTGATATAGTCTTTTGATGTATTAGAACGTTCACTAAAATAAATCATTACGAATTATAAAAATCAATTATTTAAATATGGGGTATTTTTTAGAATGTTCGGTAAATCAAGACAATGAAATATGTATATTAACTTCATGGTTACACGTTCATTAATCTAATATGATGTGTTATCTATAAATCTAAAAGCTTTGACTACATCCAATAGGTGCTCAAGGAAGACAGTCAATGAACTTTAAAGTAATTTTCTTCTCTTTTCTCTCCCACATGATTGTAAAACATTTTATCATTAAAACATTTTTATTATTTGTAAATTTATACACTATAATAACTCTAGCCTAGAGTTAGTATTGTGTATGAAGTGAAGTTTATTTATACTATTAACAATTATTAAATATATAATATTTACAAACTAAGTATATATAAATTTAAACTTTCTTTAAATCAGAAACATAATATTTTTTATATCTGAAACATAAATTAATGATGTTTCTGGGTTCAGGACTCCACTTTTTTTCTAATTTTTAGGGGCTTCTTTTTTTACAGGAGAATAAAAAAGAAAATTATTATTTATTTAATAATTGGACAAAAGTCATAATCAAAAAACTATTTTATGGTTTTTGAGCATAAATTAAAGTTTCCGACCATAAACTAAAGTCTGGTGGAGTTTGTGAAGCCCTAAGGCGTAATCAAACTTATTTCAAAGTTTGATTACGCCACGGGATTCAAAAGTATGAATCTGTTGCTCTGAAAAGAAAAAAAGTATTAAAACAAACATTTTTCTTTAGTAAACAGACAGGTGTTATAAATAAGTAATTTAAAGACTCCTGCTAAAGTAATGTTTTTACTGATAGAGAAAGTGGATCTTTATATCCAGAAGGCATCAAAGTTGTCCATCAATCTCTAGAAAGTGAGCATAGCATATTCTTGATTCAGGTTGCTACTAATAAAGCAAATGCCTCCACCGGAATTACTATTACTGATGTAAAACATAAAGATACAGATAAAGAAACTGTATTCTGAAAATGACATTCTATCTACTGATGAAGAAAGTTTGCGTGAATTTTTTGAAAAAAAAATAAAATGATAATAATGTAACTTCTGATATTGTAGCTCCCAATAATCAAAAACAAATTGTTCAACAGCCATTAGACAATGACTATTGACTGTGATATAAATACTTCGGTGATTGCGATTGTTTAAGCTTTGTCAAGTGTCCTGTGCGTATTAAGAATTTTTCTTCCTCTCAAGATGAAAAAGATTCTCAAAAATTTGGTGCATTATATTACACTTAAGTTTTTCCTTATGGTCTAAAAGATGTTGGTTGGTTTTTTCGAAACCTAAAAATGCCGTGTTCTGTTTCTGTTGCAAGTTGTTTTCAACATCTAGAAACAGATTTCAGATGCACAGCTTTTCGTGAGTTAATTGAAAAGCTGGTAAAAAAAAATTATAGCAATTTTTTAGAATTAATTGAACTTCTGGCTAAAAATGGAACGGTTTTGCAAGAGTACATCATTCAAATTAAATCAGAAGAAATTTTTTTCAGTTGCCTTTGTAAAAATACTCAAAATGAAATGATTAATCTTCTACCTGATTCCGTAAGAGAAAAAATTATTATGCAGCGAAATACTTTTTGCTTATTCTAGACTGCACACCAGAAAGATATTTTATTGATCTAAAAAAATTTCGGTTGTACTTCCATCAAATGTGTCACCATTAAAATATTTGAAAACTAATAGGCTGCTGGATTCCAAATGTGGCTCTACGAATTATAGAAGCTATGTCAATTACTCAGGAGAGCGAAGTTTTTCTAAACTTAAGCTTATTAAAACTTATATAAGAACTACAATAAATCAAGATCGACTGTGCGCACTTATATAAGACCTACAATAAATCAAGATCGACTGTGCGCACTTATATAAGAACTACAATAAATCAAGATTGACTGTGCGCACTGTCTTCAATTTCTATTGAAAATGAGATTGCCGGTAACATTAACTTAACGGAGATTATTAAAAAGTTTGTAGAAGCCAAAGCACGAAAAGTTCTTATTAATCATTAGATTAAATCATGTGTATGTATTAATGCAACTATGTGATTGAAAATTATTTTTATTTCTTTTCCTCTTAAAACACACAAAGTTTTTCATAATTTTGTATTTTTATGATAATTTCTTTAAGTATGTAAAACTATACTTATTAAATATTGCTCATTAAAAATACACAACTGATTAGAGATTAAAGAATATGAAATAAAAAATTGGTCTGTATAAGTTACATATTTTTACAGGGCTTTAATTTTTACCACTAGGGCCCCAAATGCCACGGGCCGGCACTGTCTGGGTTTTATAACTGACGCTGTCTTTCTTTATAAAGAAAGATACTCCAGCAACATAAGTTATTAATATTTCTTATTCGATTAAAATAAAATTAAATTATAGTAATACTATTTTTACTTTTAGTATGAATCATGCTTTTGACATTTTTTTTTTTAATTACTTATATTAATAGAAGAATTACTTATATTAATATAAGAAATACTTCAAGTAAATGTTTAAAACATATAATATCACTCAGTCTAAAAGTTATAGTCTTAATCTTATTATATATCTTTGACTAAAGCTTAGTCGTCATCATTACGTCATTCTTTAACAAACTTTATTTATTGGGGGAACAAAAAGATAATAAGTTGCCAATCAATCTATAGAAACCTGAAATTAGTGTTATCCTTGTAACTTCAATCCTCAAATTAGTGTATAGAGCAAAAATTGTCCTTAAATCTTTAATATGTGATAAGTTATTAATTTGCTCAGTTAAAGCGAATTCAATGTACTTTGTTAATATATTAACAATTTTTAATATATATATATATATATATATATATATATATATATATATATATATATATATATATATATATATATATATATATATATATATATATATATATATATACATATATATATATATATATATATATATGTCAGTTTTCACATCAAACGGGAATTTATTTGACTGGAATCAAAATGCGATAGTAAACCTTTTTCTATGTTTACATGCCGAGACCATTTTACTTATTTTGTTTAACAAGGGTTCTTGAT